AAACCCCAAATCTGTGGTATTTAATACAATCTGAAAGATATGAGTCCCTGAATTTAGTAGACCAAGCACTCTGAACAGTAGTTCACAGAGCACGTACAAATAACAGAAGACTGTCAACTGCTGTTTGAAATATTTTATCACTGTTAGCTTGAAAAGAATTAATATCACGTAGTGAGATATATACATAGTATTAGCTGCTAAATGTTGTTTAATGTGAGATACAAGCTGACATTAAAACAAACAAACACAACTAACAACAAAACCCAAAAAAAGAAACCGAAGGACACTGTGCAAGAACAGACAGGTCTTCCATTGGAAGAATACATATAGAAGTTACACATCATACGGCGAATGGGACAAAGGCCACACTGAGGAGCATCTCACAGAAACACAGAACCTTTTAGGTTGGAAGGGACCACTTGAGCTCATCTAGTCCAACACCCCTGCTCAAGGAAGGCAAGCCAGAACACATTATTCAGGGTCATGTCCAGCCAGGTTTTAAACATCTCCGAGAATGGTGACTCTACAACTCCTTGGGCAACCTGTTCCAATGTTTGACCACCTTCACAGTTAAGAAAATAACTTTTTGTGTTCAGAGGGAACGTCATGTCTTTCAGGTTGTGCCTACTGCCTCTTGTCCAGACAGTTGGGCATTAATAAGAACAGCCTGGCTTCGTCCCCTTAAAGGCTCAGATCTCCCTGAGCCTTGTTTTCTCCTGGCTGAAGAGAGCTTCCCCAGCTCTGTCAGTATGAAAAACACTCCAGCACCTTTATCGAGTATCTTAATGGACCACATGACAGGGACTAGAGGGGTAAAGTTCCTCACCCTGTAATCGAAGATCTGCTTCGAGACCAGCTGAGGAACCTGAACATACACAAGTCTATGGGACCTGGTGAGATGCATCCCAGAGTCCTGAGGGAACTGGCTGACGCAGCACTCTCCATGAAATTTGAAAAGTCATGGCAGTCAGGTGAAGTCCCTGTTGACTGGAAAAAGGGAAGCATTGCACTCATTTTTAAAAAGGGTAGAAAAGAGGACTCTGGAAACTACCAACCTGTCAGCCTCACCTTTGTGCCTGGGAAGATCATGGAACAGATCCTCCTAGAAGCTATGCTGAGGCACATGGAGGACAGGGGGGTAATTCAAGGCAGCCAGCAGGGCTTCACCAAGGGCAAGTCCTGCCTGACCAACATAGCGGCCTTCTATGGTGGAGTGACAGCATTATCGGACAAGGGAAGAGCTATGGATGTCATCTATCTGGATTCCTGTAAGGCCTTTGACACAGTCCCCCACAACATACTTCTCTCTAAATTGGAGAGATATTGGTTTGATGGGTCGATTGTTTGCTGGGTAACAAATCGGATGGAGTAGTTGTCAATGGCTCAATGTCCAGATCAAATCAGTGACAAGTGGCGTTCCTCAGCAGTCCATAGTGGAACTGGTGCTGTTTAATATCTTTATCAATGACACAGACAGTGCGATCGAGTGTACCCTCAGCAAGTTTGCAGATGATACCAAGCTAAGTG